GGATGCAGCCCAGTTGTTAGAATGCTTGCCCAGTATCAATAAGGCCCTGAGTTCCATCCCCAACGCCACCTACACCGGGTCCGGTAGTACACCCAGCGGTTCTGTCGTCCCAGCAGGTCCCCTGGACTGACGAGCTGACATGGAAGGGGGTGGCATGGGAAGGCTGAGCAGCCTTTGGCATGGAGACCGTGTCCATGACGAGATACAGAGGACAGGGGTGAGCATGTTCTCAGGGGTGTCCTGAGATTCAAGGTCCCTGCCCCAAAACCCCAGTTGGTCAAGGTGAAGAGACCTCACACTGGCATCTGAGAGTAGGGGGCATGGCAGTGACCCCAGCTCGGTAGAGACAGAGAATGGCCTCCTGGGACCACCTAACCCCAGAAGGGACAGCCCCTCCCTGATGTAAAGGATGAAGTCTGTGTCTGGGAGACACGAGAATCAGCAAGTGGGTGAGGCTGGCTCAGCCCTGGGACTGCCAGCAGGTGGAGGACCTCATGCTCAAGCCGTCTGCCCTCCTGGTCCCCTCAGCCCTGCCCTGTCCCTGGCTTGAACCTCTTGAAGTTTCAGGAAAGTTGGGACTCTTTTTTTTTTTTTTTTTTTTTTTTTTTAGATGTTTTCATTGTATAGCCCAGGATACCCTGGAACTTTAGAATCCCCCTGCCTCTGCCCCGTCAGCACTGCACCAGGTCTTCATTCATTACTTCACCCCCTGTCCTAACCCAGACTCCTTGGCAATCGGGGTAGAGAGAAGGCTTGCTGCTCCTGCAGAGGACCCAAGTTCAATTCCCATCGTCCACATCAGGGGGTCTCACAACCACTTACAATTCTAGTTCTGGGGATTGGATGCCATCGTCTGGCCTCTGTGGGCACCTGCATGCAAGTGGTGCACATAGATTCACACAGACACACATAATAAAAATAAAGAGATCTTCAAACACCTTGGTGATGCAGCCTTGCCACCACCTGCCTGTGGCTCCCAACATGCCCTGCATCCTCCCCCGACCCCACAGCTGTGACAAGGGCTTCATTCTCTTTGCCAGGCCCCTGCGCCTGCTGCTCCCTTCAGGGCCTTGTAGAAGTCCTGGCCTCTGGTCAGATCTCAGCTCAACAGCAGCCTTCTTGGAGCAGCCTCGTGACAGCTTGGTCAATGTGGCTCTCCACTTGGCTTCACATCCTCCCTCACTATGTTCTCTTCTGAGCACCCTTGGGAGGGCCCATGGCATCATTTCCCATCTGTGTTCCATCTGAGAGCCAAATGAATGAATGAATGAATGAATAATGGTGAATACATGCATGATAGATGAATGATCAATGTATGTAAAAAATCAATGAATTAATGAATGAGTAACACATCATCTCTTCCGTCCACTATTTATTACCTAATCTCTTCTCTCAATGGCACCTCCATTTCTCTACAGACCCATCTCCACTCAGGCTGAGTGACCCCTACAGTCTGGCCAGGGGCATAGTGTAGGTTCTTCAGGGACAGGAAAAATAGAGACCCCCAAGGAGAGGCCAGAGGAGATGTGGTACCTAGAAACCTTCCCAAGGAAGCAGGCTATAGTGGCAGTGGGCTCCATCCACAACAGAAGCGTCTATGATCAGGATTCCCCCAAAAATGGATCCCCAGCTGGCCACCTTCCATCTGCACTTGCCACACGGGTCAACTCTTCTGGTAAGTGCAGACCAGAGAAAGGAGGTGGGGGAGCCCTGTCAGGGCAGTCTACCATGATCTAGACCTTAGGGCACCGGCTGCAGTCCTGCCTAGTGTTCTCTGCACCGTGTGGAACACACCTCTGCTGGACATCCGTGCCTTCTGCGTCCCCCACAAGGAGATCCAGTACTGAGGTGTGTCTTAGATTGTTCTGTCTTTTCTCCCCTAACAAAATGGGCAGGAAGAGGGCAATGGCCTGGGCACAGAGCAACCTGAAGAGGCTCTGGGATTACATCCCCCTCCAGGAAGCCACTTGCTGTAGCTGGAAGTTTCTCTGGTCCCACCCAGCCCCGCAGTCCCGCAGCCGCTTATAAAATCATCACTCAGAGGCTTATGTTAATTACAAACTGTATGGCCAATGGCTGAAGTTTCTTGCTAGCTAGCTCTATTATCTTAAATGAACCCATTTCTATTAACCTATGTATTGCCACGTGGTCATGGTGGTCGGCTGGCATGTTGCTCCTTAGGCGGCAGGCTGGCATCTCCTCTGCCTCCGCCTCTCTTCTTCCTCTACCTCTCTTGGATTTCCTGCCTGGCTATAACCTGACTCGCCATAGGCCAGAGCAACTTCTTTATTAACCAATCATAGCAACACATATTCACAGCATACAGGAAGACATCCCAGAGCACTTCCCCTTTTCTGTCTAATCAAAAAGGAAGGTTTTAACTTTAACATAGTAAAATTACATATAATAGAACAGTAGTCAAGCAAGAATTATAGTTACAATATCTGGTCTATTTTTATTTGGCAAAAATCAAACAAAATATTCTATTATCTATCCTATATTTGTTTTGTTTTGGGTTTTTTTGGGGGGGGGTTTGAGACAGGGTTTCTCTGTGTAGCTTTGTGCCTTTCCTGGAACTCACTTGGTAGCCCAGGCTGGCCTCGAACTCACAGATTTCCGCCTGGCTCTGCCTCCCGAGTGCTGGGATTAAAGGCGTGCGCCACCACCGCCCGCTATCCTATATTTGTAAGTCTAAAGTTTCATATCTAATTTATCTTTTATCATAACCAAGAAAAATTACAACTATCTGGTTTTCAACTACATCAAAGACCAGAAAAGGATATAATGTTACCTAAGTAAACAGGAAGTGCATTGTATGCAAGTTCCAAAGTTCTATATATACCCCCCACCAAAAAAAAAAAAGCTAAACAAAGAAAATTAAGATTCGGGGTTCTTGTTTGAAAAAAAAGAGGGTATAGATATGATAAGGTAAAAGGTAGATATTGAATCTACTTTTAAAAAGGCAACTACTAGTTTTAAATATTTACATTGGATTGGATTTTTGTATATTATATACAAATTATGTATATTGATACAAATATGAGATTGACTTTGTTAGAAAATACTGTACATATATTTCCAATCTTGTTCAAGATATTGTACCTATACAGCTTATTTAACAATGTAATGCAAATTGCTAGTCCTTGAAAATTATCATTACCAACTAATTAGGATGTAAGAAGTACAAGTTAATGGTCATTACAATCAAACTTGTAGTCATATTAGGTATGTTTTCAAGGTCAAACAGAAATATATTTTAGATAAACAGGTCATCTTCAAACACTTCAGAGATCTACAGAATATGGC